GAAACAACAGAACCTGCAAGGGCGACGAGAAAGAAGAAATGGAACAAAATTGCAAGCAGAGGAGAATGGTTCCGATTTCCTTAAAGCAGCAACAGCCCGAGCACTCGCTGCACAATTACTGCTTAAAAAAGAAAACAAAAAGAAAAACAAAAAAAAAACCAGGAATCCAGGCGAGTCTTAATAATAGTACTGACTCCAAATTTTTCTGGACATAAATGCATATATCTCTAAGTATGGATACTTGTTTGTATGTATATACATAGAGAAGAGAGAGAGTACCGAAGAAGAGAGAAGGAAGCCGCTGCAGCCATGGACACAGCAAAGTCTAAGCATATATCTACCAGCCACTCTCTCTCTTTATATATATATAATATATAAGCATTAAATTCAGAAATCAGATTTGCTAACCTGTGCTGCTGGTGCACAGCACGACTTAATATACACGCTATAATGATTCGGCGGCTCAAGATACACCATTGACACAAGCCGGGAAATGGATATTCGGTTGCTTATAATCTAGACCGTTGAAATTGTTGACCATTGTGATCCTTCAAACGTCTCCTCCCTTATCTTAAAAAAAGAGAGGGCAGCGAGTTCCTCGCATAAAAAAATAAAATAATAACAATGACAATAAAGAAAGAGGGCGGCAAGGAGAGAGAGTAGTGTAAAAAAGGAGGAAGAATGGCGAATTTAGTATTGCGGGTACCAATCAACTTGAGGAGCTTCTCTGTTTCTGCTTCATCAAACGGTACTTCCTCCTACTCGTTCATTTCGCTTATAGACATGAAAAGTTGTGGTTTTTCTCAGATAAGGTGTGTTATTTCTGATAACTGAGTGGTCAATTGAGGTCTCTTCGTACTATTTTCTATGGGGATGAGATTATGAAGTGTATAGGTGGATGTTAATGGGGTGTGTTCATGAGTATTGTGTTAAATCGAGGTGTTGGAACTGTGTGTTGACAACATTCAGGGGCTCCTGGAAACATTGCTGGTGCACAAAACGGGGGTCCGGTGATTTTGGAGATTCCTCTGGAGAAGATAAGGAGACCGTTAATGCGCACTAGAGCTAATGATCCAAACAAAGTAAAGGAACTCATGGATAGCATTCGTGAGATAGGCCTCCAAGTACCTGTAAGTAATCCTTATAGTTTGATTTAACTATTGATATCTTTGGGGGTTGGGAAAGGGTGTGTGTTCCTTTAACATATTATTGTATAAAATGAGGACATTAATAGTACAGCTATTAGCTTGTTGCTCCAATTATGTAACTAGATGGGTAATCAACCAAGCCGACAAATACTCAGCACCGTAAAAGGACCCAAGAATACCAGAATTTCTGGCGGGAAAACTATCAAATGTGAAGGGAAAAACTGCGGAGGGTAGTCCATGAAAAATCTTTCACCGAGTAGGATTAATGGGTTAAAAATACCTCATCCTTGCCTCTTATAACTTTCTTGTCAATTATATCCCACAGCCTGTAGCCAAACTCCTCACGACTATAACCCTGAAAATTATACTGCTTGGACTTACTGTCAAGCTTTGGTACTTGCATCTCTTGGGATTTGTTCAAATCCCCTGCAGCCAGACACTTCCAAGCTGAATTGAACATACATCTTTCTCTATCCACGCTTTATCTAGCACATCTCTGTTTAGTAGAACTGAATGAGAAAGATGAATCAGGTGTCACGACCTGATTCACAAAGGAAAGAAGAAGGCTGAGAACAGAGAAAAGAAACCTGTGTTAGTCTATAAGAGGAGAATAGCTGTTGGTAACGTGGCAAAAATCAAGTGAAGAAGGGCTATCTGGCTTAAATCGGAATAGACCTGAATAAAGATTGGTGATGTGCTTAAATCTGGATTAAGATGGGCAACGTGGGAAAATCAGAAGAAATAGGGTTAAGAAGGCTCTTGAATGTGGTTAGGTTCATTTCTTAGACAAGGTGTGTTAATTCTGATAGCTGAGTAGTCAACATGTTTTCTTTTGGTTCTACGTGTAGAGCTAAATAAAAATAAGAAAAAAAGGAGCAAGTAGTTCTCTCTCCTTTTTGGGGGGGGGGGGGGGGAGGGTGTTCGAGATTAGGTAGTCGTTTGTTAGCAGTTAATTGAGGTCCCTTCGTACTACTTTCTATGGAGATAAGAA